TGTCTAAGAACTATCGGCACCGACACGGGATTCCCGTCAAACGGAGGTAGCACTAGGCCAACCAAAGCTATTCTTCTACAATGCGGCGATTCGCCAATTGGTCGGCCTCTGAAGAACCATGGCCCGTAAGACGCCTGTTTTAATGGCGATGGAGGACCTGCCTAAAATGACAACAACAACGATGGTGGCGGTGGCTATATTAATAGTAACAGTAGTAGTCGGAGAGGAAGAGTGGAAAGGCAGGAGAAGGGGGAGGAAGAGGAGGGTGGAGGCGGGGAAGGTATTACACCGGATCGCCATAATCTCCAGGAGCCTTATGCACTTTTATGAAGCGTTTAATACTCTTAACAGTAAAAGGTTGGACTGCGCTATCTTGCAGTTTCTACGACAATAGAGAAAACACTATCACAACAACTAGATCGGCTCAGGAATAAAGACAGACTTAGGGTGATCAGCATTTTGTCGAGAGCAAAAAGCAGCGGGTCAGAACGACCATTTCAGAAGGGTTGCCTGAGAAGAGAAAGTCTGATCTCTGCGGAGCTTGACCAACCGTGTGTTGGGTTTCGCTGCACATCGGGTTAGCAATCGCAGACCGAGTAAGCAAGAAGTATATCTATACTCATCGACTGCCAGGCGGCAGAGTGTATTCTGCCCATGCATAATTGACAAGTGAGCATGTAGATCCTGCCCAATTCTCGAACCAACCTTATTTATTACAGGCGAGAATAACCTACTATTTAGCGTAGAGCGGACGTTGCAAAAAAAAGTTTTTTTTTTTAAAAAAGCTAAGAAACTCACAAGTCGTCTCCCGTAGTAGACACTGGTTTGGGTCGGTTGTCCAAACTGATCTTATCATTGAAGCCGAATTTGCAATCGGGCATCCCACTGAGGTAGCACTTCATTACCACCTTTCCAACAACGTGAGCAGACAGGATCTGTCCTAGAAGCATTAAGGTAAAAGGCCAATCACACTTTAATCGTTCAAACCAAACACATTGGTGCTACAATCAGAGGGGCATTTAAGGCAGAATGGTTTCTAGGTGTTACGACTGACACTACTATTGAAGGCAACATTCTACGGATGTGGTTGCCGGACCGATCAGTAGTCAGAGGTACCGGTACGTCGATAGTTTATGAAGGTCGAAATTATAAAGATAATTGTGAGCGACCCCAACACAAATCGACGTGACCACATCAATTCAGTTTCAGCACACAGATAAACACTTAGCAAACAGCCATTTATGTGGTTC